ACTCATATGTACGATTCAAGGGTGTATACAATTGGCCGTCCAGAGAACTTTGGGATCAGATATTTCGTACATATTGTTGGTTTCCACTTTTAGCAAATTTGTGTTTGTGGGTCTTATCTTTTTAGTTTCTAAAAAAAAGATCCCACATGTTAAAAACAGTGCAAATTCACCCTCCCGATCAATTGGGAAATTAGGAAATATATGGTAAAATAAATCTTATGAAAACCAAACGAGTAAGCTTATTCCAGATGGGTTTAAAGAAGATGCAGCAGTTTTTAATGAAAATTGAGTTGTCATTAATTATGTTAAGATCAAGTTTATAAAAACCAACCAAACGGTGGAACCAGATTAACATTGAGTCGTCATTCATCATGAATGTCTTTTACGCCCCCCCCCCCCCCAAAAAAAAAAAAAAAAGAGAGGAAGCTGAAAGCAGTGTTCTACTGAGCAAGACAACGGAGTTGGGTTGGATCCAATTCAAGAAAAATAGGTAATCACCTCTGATCTCCAGTGATGCTCGCCTTCTTCATTGCTCTTCTCTAAAAGTATAGGTACAAGATTGATCATAAAAATCAGAAGGAAAAGTAATTAATTAAACATAAATAGATATAAATCAAGAGAGAAAATAATGAATTGAGTACGTACCCGATAGCAATCTGCAATTGCCTGCCGCAGAATTTGCTCATACTCAACGCTATGAATCATTGGAGCCGGAGCATTGTCGTGTTTGGTTTGAAACACTTCAGCTCGATGATACTATGTATCTATGGTACCTTCTAGTTAAAATACTGAGTTTGATGGCATTGGACGGTGACATGATCCAGGTGGACCTATCTTTTCTACCCTTACCACCCAGACCCGGTATTGAACGAACCAATGGTTGCCGAAGTATGCTGTGATGCAGACAGCAGAGAGGTTTGTGCATATCAGCAAATTCAGACATCACCATCGATGCTACGTAAACAAATAGACTCCGCTCCTCAGAACTATTCGAATGGTAGTAAATAAATCATGGATAAGAACAACCTTACAACGAGCGTAGCAGCCGTCTATCCGTCTTAATTCAAGTACTCAATTTCTCAATTACTACTGTCTTAAAGGAACAAATATCCATAAGACGTAAATATCCCTGAATTTTACCCAAACAAAAAAGAGGAACACCACCCGCATATTTGCATTGAGGTAAATAAAAGGGAGAGGATGAGAATGGAAGGATAAATCTCCTTTCTTTTAACTAAAATTTTTTTAAAATTAAAAAAAATATATTTATCAGCTAAATTTTTTAAGAATTAAGAGGGAAAACATTATAAAACAACTTTAATTATTTTAATAAACCTTCATTGAAAAAAATTAAAATAATATATTTTTAAAGCAAGAGTTAAACCTTTTTTTTTTCTTATGCTGCTTTATTAAAAACAGAAGAGTTTTTTTAAGTATATTTTCTTATAATTTTTAGATGTAGGACCAATAAACACTAATTTTTTATAGTATGTTTGGTTTGAAAGAGATGAAATGGAGGAAAATGAAAAGATAGGATATCCTTTCATTTTCTTGCACTCCCTATTCTCTCATCTGGATGTAAAATGAGTGATACATTATTTGGTTTGACACACTTTTCAATACTTTTTCAATTCAATTATTAAAATATAATATAAGTAAAGTTGATTCAATTAATTTTTGCATTTTTAAGTTAATATGTTTGTTTTTAATTTTAAACTAGAAAATTAAAATGACCCAAGCTCAACTTGGTAATTTTTCAAACTAAGATCCATCTACTCTTGAAAGCTTAAGAGCTTAAATTCAATTACACTCACATCTCTCTCTAATACTCATTAAAACAATTTGAGTTGGAACACATCACTGGTCTAATAATAACTTTTTAGGGAAAGACCCACAAGCCCTTAAAAACACAACTCTTCAAGGTAAGATCTACAAACCCTCAAAAACTTAAAATTAATTAGTTATTTGTAATAATTGATCATTTATATATATAAAGCTTAATCTTTATAAGAGGAGAATCATAATTGATCCTAGCCAGATTATGTGCGGAATGTGTGGAGATAGCATTCAAGAGGCCAACCATCTTTTTATTCACTATAAAGTTGCTTTTCTGGTTAGGAGCAAGTGTGCACAATGGTGGAGGTTCCTTTTAGTCCAATCAGAGACTTTCTATGATGATTTTGAACAATATAAGTCCCCTGTTAAAGACCCTTCAGTGAGAGCTAGGTGGGATGTGGTATGGTTCTCCACTATATGGTCACTATGGATAGCAAGGAATGCAAAGATTTTTAGAAATCAAGAGCATGATGCAGACAGAATCTTTGAGCTTGTATGATTAAGAGCTTTCAGCTGGATTAAGGGCAAGACAGCGAGATATTTTTTCAACTTTCACGATTGGATGCTAGAACCAGTCCTAAGCCTCAAAGATAAAAGAGGTGGACGTTAAGTCTTATTTTGATGTTTTGTGATGTTTCTTGATATTGTCACTGAGTAGTTAGTTGACTTCAGTTGTTTTCTTTTGCTGGTATATATTCTTGAGTTTTATGTTAGCTAAAGTCAATGAATGCTCAATGATTGTTTATTTTGTTTTACGGGCAGGAGTACTCCTTGTACTTCATCAAATAAAATTCTTTGGTTGTGAAAAAAAAAAACAAAAATTGATCATTTATATATCATACTTACTCACACTTTCCCAATGACGTGGGATCTGAGACACACACCAGCTCTCATAATCATGGAAAAGAAGCAATTCTCAAATCCATTTTTCCCGTCTTATTAGATAAGTGGATTTGGGGAAAGCCGAAGAAGAATTTGATCAAAATTAAGATTTTATCTTTCTATTGAATTACGCTTGGTGATTGCAGATTTGCTATTGATGATACTTTTGTCGATTAGAAAAGGAACAAGTAAATATCGAAAAAATTGAGAGTGATCTAGAATGCTCTTGACGATCTTCTTGCACTATCCTCTACTACTCCTATCAATTTCTTCGTCCCTATGTTTTTATTGGAAATCAAGGAAAAGAGAACGTGTGGGTGAAGAGAATTTGAGAAATTAGAAGGCATAGTCTTAGCGAGACTGGAAGCGACTGGTATAGCCAAAGATAATGGGAGAAAAGGATAATCACGGTTGTCAATAGAAGATTTTTATGAGATGAAGAAAATGAATTAAAATTCAAATTCTAAAGAGATAATGGTTCGAAATTTTAGCGTGAAACCTGGACTTTAATCTTCATATTTATTAGATGACAATTTGAACAAATTAAACAGAGAAGATAATCGTGCAAAAAAGTTTAGGAAAAAAATAATTCAACAGTGAGAAATAAAATGGATAAATTTTGTTATGACAAAATAAATGGATAATTACAATTTAAATTTAAAGAAGAAAACATTAAATGATTAGGAGAATATTGCAATGTGAAATTAATTTTTTTTTTTTTAAAGGTTGAAATTCAGTTAGTTGTGCGAAAGAGAAGATTTTGTTATACACAATTAAAATTAGGTCTTAACAACAGTAAATTGTAATAAGGAAAAAAATAAATAATTAAAATTTTATATAAATATAATATATAAAATTTAATATATAAATGAATCTTTATTCAATATTAATTGATATAGACCCTTAGAAGTTTCAAATTGCGAGTTGTATTGTCGGACCGTCCAACAATA